ATATGGGTAATTGAAAAGACATAAAAATTGCGTATTCAGAAAAATGATATAATGCGTATCAAAGATGTATGGCTATACTATAAAATATCCACAGGTATATTGGTCTGTAGGCATAAATGATATAATAGAATCTTCTGAAATTCAAAGTGGAATAGAAACTCAAGAAACTGTTTACACATATGAAATTCAAAGCGTGGGGACAAATACTGCGCATCCACACAAACTACTTACATATTATTTTTAATGATATGTGGGTCATCACGGTTGATGAATCCGGCTCTCATCAAATTTTAGGGATCTGAGAAATCAAAATATTTCTCGACAAGTGGGCGATTTTTTTATTTTTTTTTCATTTTCTTGCACAGAAACAGTCTCAGGGTAAATAATACAGAAGTATTTCTTTGAAAGCCAAAAACATGTTATATTAAGGGGCAACTATGAGTATTCAGCTTTAGAAGTCACCACCAAACTTTGGCGGCCATTTCCTTGCTAATTTTACCTATAACATGAGGTGACACCCACCTTCTTTAATTAATGCACACATATATCGACTTCTAATACGCCTTTACAAGATAGATAAATACCTTTTCCACCAAGTTCAATAAAAATAAACAAGCTTTTATTTGACGGAAATTACTTCATAAGCTCAAAAGCTGACAAGAGCCTGATTCCACCACACTGTTACACAGGTATAGCAAAGGTGTATCAAATAATCCCTCTGATTAAAAAAAAAGAAAAGAAAAAAAGCACAAACAAAACAAACAAACAAAAAAGAACCCCAGAAACTTTAAATCATGTATAAATCAAGGAAGAATGGAAACTCGCCTCATTAAACCATATAAAAACATGGCCAACATAAGAAATTAAAAAATCATTTAAATTTCAATCCACGCATAGACCAACTTGGACCCCAGTGCAGAGACCACAAAATTGTTTCTTACAGCTCACTTTTCCTTCTACTAACAAAGACAAAGCAGTCAGAACAACTGCTTCTTATACCTTTGCACCATGTTTGTTCATCATCATCATTTGCCTCGGTATTAACACCCCCTTATTACTGGGAATAAGACGCAAAGAAATAAGGGCTCTCCGTCCATCTCTGTTCAGAGCAATCTTCTCCACCTCCAGCCAGCTGTGTCCTCGATGCCTGAGACCTGTCATCTGATCTCTCTCCCAAGTGAATTTCTGCTTCCCTCTATTTCTCCACACTGTTTGTTACTCAATCTGTCATAGTCATACTGGCAATATCATCAGTCTCTAACAGAACAAGGAAGAATTTTTAAAGTTTTAGTAAGAGTATTACGGCACTTGCAACACAATAAGGTCATATAAGTGCCGAAGATTAGAGGAGTTACAAGAGAGTAATAAACACAAAAAAGAAGGAGGAGAGATCAGGACAATAAATTTTTTATAAGAAAGAAGGAACAAACCACACCAGAGCACCCGCCAACCACCCACAGGAAGAATTTTATTACATGTAGACCTTTAAGATCTTTCACACAATTTTGGTTGAAAAATAGATCTATGCACCAACTCCAACATGGATTATTCCTGCAACAATCAAATACCTTACACTGGTAATAGCACATCATTAATGGCAATAATGGTGTACTTGCAGCTTTTTTCTGCTGTGATTAAAGTTTCATAAGAGTAAATACACACATGCACACACATATTCACTACCACACACACACACATACACACACACCCACACAAATATAAAGACCAATACACATTAAAAAAACCCACAGCAAACACATAAGTGTCACGACGTGGAATCAGGCGCTCGTCAATTTTTGGGCATGTGGAGTTACTGGTATTATCTGAAAGCTGATTTATTTGCCTAGCTTCATATGTAATAAATATCCATCTATCTTGAATAGAACTCAAGATATTTGCGATTGAATAAAGTGAGGTCGCCTGGTTTCAGTGGTGAAATTAGCGAGCAAATGGTCGTCAAAGTTTGATAACTCCAATAGATAAAGAGTACTTGAAGACAGAAAAATGACATATTTTATGCCTTCAATCAGTGTTTTTCAGTAAAATTCATATAGAAATGTGTTTTTATATGGACATAAAAGAGGTTGAGTACCATTGAGTCAAAAAATAAAAACTCTATCAATATTTCCAAACTGGCAGAAAAACGCCTGTTTCTCCGATTTCTGCATTTTGATGAGCGCATGATTTCACCACGGTGCCTCACATATAAACATACATAAACACACCCCTACACTCACAAATAGAGACATAAAAAATTCCATACTGTGAACAAAGTCACACAGATTAGAAATACACAAACAATAGCACCAGCAATATGGCAGTTATTTCTCTTTCTTGACTTATTCTAAAATTCAATGATATACAGTTTAGTAACTTTGCTTCTAACATACTGCAGGGAAAAAGTGAAATAGAGAGACAGAAACAACAGTAGACAGGAAAAGAAGTAGGACCTACTGCTGACTCATTTCAATCATCCACTAACAAAACGATAAAATGTTGAAACTTTCCTTTCACTTTATAAAAACAGTTAAGGATACCATAATGCCAAACTAACATTCAAATACTCGCAGTCTCCAACACACACTTGTACTCACCACGTACACGCAAACACTTTCTTTGAGTAGAAAGAAGCACATCAATACAATGAAAGTCACATCTTAAAGGACAAAGGCAAGACTGACAGAGAGACAGAAAAAGCAGAGGGAAGGAAAAGAAACAGTAACCATGAGGTACCCCCCCCCCTCTCCAAACAAAAAAAAATCTCCACACACACAGACACACACAGACACACACACACACAAGCACAATCATAAACTAGCCAACATAGGGGACTGCACATGGCAAAGAAAACAAGCAACAATTTCCCACAACCAAAAGTGGTGCCTCCCAACAAGGCGAAAAACCCACACAATCATCAAACTTCACTCTCACAGCTACATTTTAGCTTTTTTATTTATCTTTGTATGGCTCCCTCTTGTCTCTTTCAAATCTTCCAGTGCTACCATCATCTTCTCCTTTGCTCTCCACCTTCCTTCTTTGTCTGTGGGCCGAGCACATTCTTCCAATAAATTACCTGCAGAGTAATAATTTTTAAAAATTTTTTTAAAAGAGCGAGACAAAATTAGTAAATAGTCCATAGATTTTGTAGATCAAAACTTGCAAATTAGAAGGATCATTTGAATGAGTCCGAAAAGCTTGCGGCTCTTGCATTTTTGCTTAATGTCCACAAGTTGTTGAAATGTACGAAATGTACTAAGCCCAGACACATAAATGTTACAGGAAAGAGAAAAAAAAAACATTTCAGTGTTTTAACACTTGTACCTGCATTATCACATTAATGTCCATTTTTTTGCTTTTTTTCCCCCCGACATTAAGAATTTGAAATTCTACAATTTTTTTAATTAAAAATTTTTAGGTTAACTACATTTCAACAGCTAGACGATGTTATATGGAGTGTTTGTGTCATGTTTAAAAAACCAATGATCCCCATCATATTTGGGTATCCCATGCCTTGATATCTGCTCTCCATCTCCTTGATATTTCTGTAAAAACCTTTTACCTCGTCTCATCAAAAGGAAAAAGTCATGATGCGAGGGCAGAAAGTGCACTTTTAGAGACATTCCAAAGGCCAATATGAATGGCCAGTAACTAAAAAAAAAACCTGATGCGATGGACAAAAATGATGTACAGATTTGAAATCAGCATACCAAAACACTACCAAGAAAGCACAATGGTTGCCTGGTAGCAAAATCTTTGTTGACAAATGATACTTAATCCCCCCCCCCCAACCCACTCATTCACTCATTCCCAACCTTTATCAAATCCACAAAATTATTTAATCATAGGGCTATTGTATGGGCGTTCTGGACATCTGGAAGCCCCAGAAACTTTAAATAACTGAGGCGAAGTTTTGCTACACATATTGGGAACCCCAAATTGTTCAGAGCCAAGGGTGTCACAACTTTTTCAGAGGGATTATACGCAGTACATAGACCTACAAGTAAGCACTAGCAATCATACAGGCTGAATGCTCATGCAAATGTGCCCAGGTTCTCTCTATACAGGAAACCAAACTTTCCCAGTTCACAACATATGTTGCAAGCACTAGTGTTAATTAATCAAGCTCATCAAAAGGACCCATTTATATTTAGCAGAGGATACGACTTTTCAATGGGAAAATAACCCTGCTGAGTATCAAAGCTGCCTCCCATCCAAGGCAAAGCGGTGTCTTGTAACAAAACTGAGTCGTTTGGTTTAAATTGTTTGTTAAACAAGTCTTGCCCATGTCCATCTTGTGTCAAAGGACAACGTATTTACAACAGAAAACGGTAGCTTTCAAAGTGATAATGCTATATAAAGAGAGTGATCACAATAATAAGTATCAGGAATTTATTGCATTTTTCTCAAATTCAGAATCATGAAATATGGAATTACATCACTCTGCCTGTGATGGCAGAAGGCTGTGAAGTGCAAGTGTGATATGTACTTTGACATGCAATAAACAATCCCATTTTTTCTCATCTTGCTCCTATAAGTAAGTGATACAAGGGCTCCTACTTTCATTAAGATGATGTATTCTTTTATCCAATACAAGATAGATGGATTGAATGCAAAGCTACCAAAGCGAACCAAAAAGCAGACTCACCCAAGTCCCAAAAGTCGTTGGCAGAAACTGGCATATCGTGTAGCAGACCCCCCACCAAACCATTCTCGTTGGCATAGTGAGACAGAAGGTTGCGGCAGATAGCATTGTAGTTGTGGTCACTTTTCACGCGGCTACAGAGGTCTTGTGTGGAGAACATTAGGCAGTTCTTCCCTTCGCACTCGCTGAACATCGCTTCATGGGGCTCATCCCACCCTCGGGGCTTTCCTGTGGCAAAACAAATCATTAGTCAGGAGAGAAAATTTTGTTTGAGTAAAGAGAAGCACTTCGACACAATAACGGTCATATAGTGCAGGGAAGACAGACAGACAGACAGACAGACAGACAGACAGACAGACAGACAGACAGACAGACAGACAGACAGACAGACAGACAGACAGACAGACAGACA